TGCTGAAAATATGCAGCGAAGAATAAATGGGATGGTAACGTGGAAGTGCTTGCTACCTTGAACTGTGCTGAACTTGACTGTGCCTGGGGATGCGATTAGCACTGTATCAATCAGTTGTGGAGTGTTTTCTTCCTTTGCTTGTGGCTCGGGAGAGCTGGAAACGGAGGACTTGAGCAAACCCCTCAGTCCACACTGCGTTTTTTAAACAGGCTGTGGCTCTGAACTGCCTGGCCTAACTTGGATTTGAGGGTATATCTGGTGTGCTGGAATCGTGCACGAATGGGTGGGGGAGGCAGCATGTGTGTATAAGTATGGACCGGACAAGCAGATGCACAGGTCTCTGGGAAAGAAAGCACCTTTCTGCTCCCGGGGGTTGCTTGTCAACCTTGCATTTTGGAGGGGCGTCCCGAGTGCTCTGTTCTCCCAGCGCTTCTGGTGGAAAGTGCCTGTCGCCCCAGTTGCGCTGGCCTCGGCGCTTTTGTTGCATCAGAGAACTTGGAGGAGAGCTGTAGGACCTCTTTCCTGCCTCCCACAGTAGGAGGAAAGTAGGTCCAGATGGGCCGTCCCTACCCCCAGGGGACCTGCGGCTGGGCTAGGGAAGAGCAGATTGGCTTTGCATCCGTTTTCTCCAGAAGGGAGCAAAGCATCTGCGGCGTCCCACTTCTCTGGACTTCTACCAAACGCAGAGCAGCTGTTTGGCAGATCTGACTCGACTTGCCAATCGGGTTTCTCAGCCCAGTGCACGCGCAGCTCACCTCGGGCCTCTGAAAGCTTGAGCTTTTAGTTGCAAACCCAGACCGCGTTTCCCTAGCCAGTCCCCTTCCTCAGCTTTCCCAGGCAAAGTGTCGCCTGGGTCGTGAACTGCCCACGCATGATTGGGTTCTGGTGATGCTCGGTTCATGCTGCTGAGTGAAGTGGGGAGATTTGCTGCTGTTACCTTTCATTGGAAATGAGTATTTCGAATCCTTCTGGACAGAGGGGAAATGACATTTGGTTAACGTTGCTGGTTGGGTGTACAGGAGGCA